CCTAGTCTACAAGTTCTAGGACAGCCAGGGAGACACAGACCCTGTCTCAAAACAATAAAAACAAAAGCAACAAAAAACCCAACACACACACCATCACAATCAACAACTACAAAAGTGTTGTGGTCATAGTCTAACTGTTGGAGAAATGTTCTTTGGTAAGGAGAATTTTCTTATGTGGGTTTGATTCATTGGATATTTTTTTTTCTTGATGATAATGGAAATAAAGACGATGGCTTTTGTTTTATGTTTTGTTTTTCATAATAACAGAGATGGTTCCAGAGCTCACCTGTGATAAGAAAGAACTCTACCCAAGTAACCACCTTCGCTCAAAGATGGTTTTTAAACAGGCCCATGTATACTGACAAGGCTATGGTCTTTTTTTTTTCCTCTGTTCATTTTCTGAATACAGGATCTCATTAGACTGCTTTCAAAATGCTGGGCTCCAATCATCCATCCAATTTCTTGATTCCAAGTTTTAATGAAGTGTACTCCTTGTATGGCTCAAAACATGGATGAATCAAGTTCTAGATTTTTCAAAACTACAAAATAATAGAACCACATGGTAGGAATATTAATAGTCCAGTTTCTTCCCTCCCTCATCTCTCCGTGTGTGTGTGTGTGTGTGTGTGTGTGCATGCACTGCATATACAAGAGCCTGCCAGTGTGCTCATCTGCCCACTTGCATGCAGGGACCAGAGCAGGCCATCAGTGTCCTCTATCACTCTGCACACTGTTTTCTCTCAGTAAGTCAGAAGCTCACCCTTTTGGTTAAGTTGGATAGCCAAGGAACTTTTATAATATGCCAGTGACTTCTCCCTAGTGCTAGGGCCACAGCCTTGAACAGCCATGCTTGGCCTTTTGCATGGGTACTGGAGATTCAAGCATAGGTCCTCATGATTGCACTGCAAGCTCTCTTATTGTCTGAGCCATCTCCCAGCAAAGTAATTTCAAACAGCATAGGACACCTGACTGGTGAAGCACTAAAACCATGTGACTCACATTTCTAGGGAGTCAATAAGGATGTTTAAACAAGGAAATGGGAAAGGTGTATACAGAGGCATACACATGCCCCGTTAGAATTGTGAGAGTTGTGCGAAGTGTTAAGCTCTTCTTCCTCTGACCAAAGGTCAGCAGCTTCAGCATGAGCCACTAACAAATCACATGCAAAGATGATTAACGCAGAGGTGGCCGTGGAGTGGGGAAGATGGCAGAAAAACACTGACACATCTATTGTTTCCCCTCATGCTTCTAGTCTGCACCAAGAATAGCCTTGACCCCATCAGTTGTGACGTGGCTGGATTTAACTTCCCTTCCAACCCACAAATGATTGGCAGTGGATCAGCGTTACAGTGATTTCTATGAAACTGTTTGTTTTTCAGTTTTTTTTTTTAACCTGGCTCTCACACAAATAACTGAGACTCTTTATGTTTGTTTAATAATAAGCTTCATAACGCAACAATTGAACAGTTATTACCCTCTAAGCTAATCTGGATTCCTCCCAGCATACATCCCAGAGATATTTGCGCTTTGTAACTTTCATTGCTCCAGCTCCTCTCCTGATTCCTTGGAGGTCTCCTGATACTTTGGACCTCTCCTGTGGCTGAATCTCCTACTTCCTTCTCTAACTCCTCCTCCCCTGGCTGGCAGAAAGTCCAGCCCTATTCTCTTCCCTGCCCAGCAATTGGCTGTACGCTTTATTGGCATATCAGGGGACAATTAGGAAGCAGAGTTTATACAGCATTGAGACAAGAGATCCTCAGAACAAGGCTTGCAACCAGATACGGGGTATACAGAAATTAACATTTGACCTTACGCCTACATCACTCTCTTCTAGTCTAATAAAAAGCTCTTTTCTTTTTTTAACAATAACAAACTATATGGAATAATAACAGTTATGAAAAATATTAGTAAGATCTACATTTGTATTCTACTATCTTTCAATTTCTATCATCCCAAACAATTTAAGTTTAACTGCAAGACCATAACTATCTAGTCTTCAACCCCATCAGAGACTTAAGAAGGAGTGAAAAAGTGCAGGCAAGCAGCTTCCAAAAGTATGAAAACAACAGAGATATCTGGCTTCCTGGACAGTCCCCCAAATTTTTCCATAACAACGGAGCATCATCTTCAGCCTTCTGGCTCAGAATATTTGACAGACCTTTCTGTGAAGCAGGAATTTATAAGGGACTTGCCTGCCTTGTCCTTGCAAAACTCGACAATCGACTCTCCTGCATCCAGTTTGTCCTGTTTGGACAGTATTCTGTCTTAATTGATGCAAGGGTATTTTCTCACCCAGTGGCTAGCTTGCCACTTTCGAAGCTTTTGATGCTCTGTGAAGTAGAACTGGGGTGCTGCCAGGAGCAGACCTGTCTCATGTCAAAAAAAAAAAAAAAAAAAAAAAGCCTTAAGTTTATAAATTCTTTAAATGCCATATTCTGTAGATCTCTGAGGTTTTTGAAGACCACCTATCTATCTTATCTGAATTGTTTGTTTTTTAGCTATTTTTTTATCTGTCAATCTAGGAAACATATTTTTGTAATTAACTAAACTAATATCTAATAAGACCATGAGTTTGATTGTCTGATGGCTAATATGAATTTCTTAATTATACTAAACAGCTTTCAAAAGGACTAGAGTTTAACACTGCAGTTTTATGAATTGTATCCTCAGCATGTTGTAACCAAATATAATCTTAAACCTGTATTAATATACAAAGATTTATACCACTGTAAGATATTTCACTTATTAATGTTCTTTGGTTTCAAAGTTGATTGAATAATCTACCCTTTTACTTATTCCTATAACCAGCCCCTTTAAAATAATAACAAATGTCTATCACCCATAGAATTACCAAAAACCACCGACCCCCTCTTGGGAATGGGGTGTAGTATTAAATTGCTTCTTGCTGATTTGGGAGGCAGGTTTTTTGTTTGTTTGTTTGTTTGTTTGGGAGCCCAAGAAAATTGGGATATTCTCCAGTCTAAGAACGTTACTGTAAATTCTGCTGTCTAGTCTCTGAATGCTGAGAAAGTTCAGAGCTTAATTGAAGTCCTGACTGGAACAATCCATGATAATGGATGCTCCAGCTAGATGTTTGACATTGTCATGAATGCAGACTTTGAAGGAAACAGTTATTGAGGCCATCTGTGAGGTAGGGTCATCTGGACATTCTTGTCTTTATTACTGTCTGGTTTTCTTGCTCTGTAAAATATATAAACTTTTAAAGGTATTATACATATTTGTATTAATATATGTATGGGTTGTGCACCAAACACAGTTCTGTTAAAGATGATTTTCTGTCCTCTGTTCAAGCAGGTAAGAAACCAAACTGTAATATACATTTTTATCTATGTCATTTAAAAGAATGGCACAGTAAGTCCTCAGGATTTTGTGGCCAAAGATTTCTTGGCCATACACAGCTGAAATCTTGGCTGGAGACATTTTCACGTCTTGGTCTGTCTCAGAGCTGTTCCCATGTGGAGGGATCAGCAAATTATGTTACCTGTCCTGTTTGGTCTTCTTGATTTCTTTCCTTATGTCTGCAGCCAAGATCTTCATTTCCATCAGTTTAGACATAGCTTTTTGTTTCCTGTTGAGACAAGAGCATATTCTCCTCTCCAATGTAACACATTTCCTGTCTACCATTCTGGGGTTATGATATCTTTAATAGAAACAGGCCAATTTAGTTCAGCAGATTTTTCCATAATCAAATGTATCTTAGCAGGTATGTTATTTGTCTCATTTAAAATATTTAAAATCAACAAATCATCATTTACTCTATTTTAGGGAGATATTATATTCCCCTTCTATTTTATGACCACTTTTAAAAAATTTAGTTAGATATTTTCATAATTGTTTGAACTACAGGATTTATATCTGTGACAGGTTTCATGCCATAATGTCTAAAAATTGTTGTATTCCAACATGATGAACCTCCATCAGCACCAATTTACAAAGGTCCTCAGAGACAATCACCACCTCTAACAAATGTGTAATCTTAGAATCATAATTTTCAGAACTTAAGATAAAAGCCCATTGAAGTTCTGAATAAGAACCAATGGCATGGTGCACATATTTCAGTTTTCCAAACTCTTCAAAATGGAGCAAACAAGCCACATGACCTTGTTCCAAGACAACATCAAACAGGATAACATATAGACCTTCGTTCAGTAAATGAACCTTGACAATACACACACAACATCCAGTCTGACCTTGTTGGCCTATACATGAAGCCTTTCTACCCAGAATCTCAATGGGCTACCATTCTGCAATTTCTTTAAGCTTCTGTTGATTTTTCTCATCTGTAATTACCATTTTGGTGTTATTGTAAGTCCCAGAATAGATTTTTCTTAAGGTCCCCTATTTTGATTCAAAGATTCCTCCAACCCTTGTTTCATGGCCTCTAATTTAGCATCTATTTTCCCAGTCTCTTCTTTCTCCACGTCTTTCTTATTCTTATCTATCCAAAGAGGATACACAAAACTGAAATCACCATGGAAAAAAATTACTTGTATCCTAAAAGAAACAAACTTAAATGGAATCCAGAAGCGCTGTCACTGTGTCTTCCTCCATTTTCAACATATAAAATAATTTTCTTTAATCTCAAAACCGTGAGGGAGATCCCAGACCACTGCCAATACCCAGGATGGGGACCTGACCAACTCCATGACAGGTCTCAGTTCTGAGATCTTTAAGCCTGGCCTAAGTTTCTGTTTTTCAGAAAAGAAAACCAGGGTTCTGGGAGAACCACAGAAAAAGAAGAGCCAATCAGAAAAGGCCCCAACATCTGGCCAGGGCAGTTAAGGTTGATCAATAGTTATTCATCAACAAATCTGGAAAGTCCCCAAGCTCCTGACCTATCCCAAGCCTACCCATGCCCCTAGGCTAGCAGTCAACCAATCAAAATAAGGATTACCTCACCACCCTTGGAATTCCCCTAACAGGCTTTAAATTGAGCCTTCCAGCTCATCTCAGGGTCTCCACTTTGCGAGTGTGGAGACTGAATGCTGGAACTCTCTGCACAACAAACGCTCTTTGCTTTTACATACTATCTGAGTCTGGGGTCTTCCTTCAGCTATTTATGGAATCTAACATTTGGGGGCTTGTATGGGATCGCTGAGGCTGAGTAGTTGAGTAGAACAGTTGAGTGTTTTGAGGGGACTCTTTCTCTCCCCAGCTGATTGGTAAGTTTTGAGGCACTCCTTGTCCAGTCTGTTGTCTCTCTGTTCTTGAGCGCACTCTGGAGGCCAAAAGGGACTAAGCAGACTCCCACACAGTCTGACAGCCAGGAGTAACAGAGAACACTCCCGACTCACAGAAAGGGCCCTCAGGTCCTTATCTGGTTCTAAAGAATTTGAAAATTCCCATTTGGTTTCTGAACTGACATCAGGTCTCTTTGCCTCTCAAGGATTCCTGCCAGGTCTCAGCGAATTCAGGCTTGGTCGTCACCCAGGTAAATTAACTATCTTTTGCAGGAACGAATGGCCCACATTTAAGGTGGGCTGGCTGAAGGAGGGAACATTCCACTTGCCTTCTATTTACAGGGTTAAAGATTGGTATATGAATATCCCAGACTGCCTGATCAGGTTCCTTACATCACCACTTGGCAATATCTGGTGGAGTGATACCCCCCCGCCCCCACACACACACGTTGGCTCAAGCCCTTCCTGACTCCTATGTCCTCCCTTCTCCCAGCCTGCAAGGCACCACCACACCAGCCTCCCCTACTTCCTCCTTCAGCCCCAGAGGAAGACTTCTTTTGTCCCTGACCCTATGTCCTGGTGCCTGCCCCAGCTTCTCTGCCTGCTCCTAGGGAAGCCACTGCAGTGGGGGTGGAGGGGACTGGGGGGTGAACAGGACTAGCCTGTACCCAGCCAGACCCACTGGGAAGTATGCCCCACACCAGGGACTGGACAGCAGGCAGGGGTGGAATCCACCATGGCTCTTCCTCTGAGGGCCACAGGACCCCCTGACGGTAATGAGAGACAATATAGACCCACCTGCCTTTTATTAGTAACGACTTGTACAACTGGAAATTGCAAAACCCCAAGTCTGTGAGAAACCATCAGCCCTCACTGTTCTTTTAGATTCAGTGATGCTAACTCACCAGCCCACTTGGGATGATTGCCAGCAGCTGTTGAAGGTCCTCTTCACCACCGAAGAGAGGGACTGTGTTTTGAATGCAGCCTGGAAATTAGTTCCGGGTGCCAATGGATTGTCACTCAGGTCCAGGCTGAAACTGATGCAGCTTTTCCACTCCCCCGGCCTGACTGGGACTACAACTCTAATGCAGGTAAAGGGAGGCTCCAGGTCTACCACCAGATTCTCATGGGGGCCTCTCAGAGAGGCTGCTAGACAGCCCACAAATTTATCAAAATAAATCGGATAGGGCAGGGCAAGGATGAAAGCCCAGGTGCCTTCCAGGAAAGGCTGATGGACACCTACAGAATCTACACTTGCACTGATCCTGAGGCACAGGAAAACCAGTCAGCTACCAACATGACCTTTGCCAACCAAGCCACCCCAGACATTCGATGCCAGCTCCAACAGCTGAATGGATTTGCATGTAAACAACTGAGTTGGTTGCTATAATGGAGAAGTTCTACAACAATAGAGAAATGTCAGAAGACAGACAAAAGGGAGCTGGTGAAGATCCTCCTCGAAGCCTATCATGACTGACCTGACAAGTGAACTAAAAACCTGGCTTATAAGAGATGAGGAGGAAAGCAGGCTCCGCCCCAAGGGGCGGGGAGGGGGGACTAAGGCCCATCCTCCTGTAGAAAAAGATCAACGCTATTACTGCAAGGAGAAGGGACACCGGAAAAATGAATGCCCCAAGAGAGCCCAGACCAACAAATCCAAGGTCCTGGAACTAGGGGAACTCAATGACTGAGGATGTCAGGGCTCATGCCCCCTCCACGAGCCCTGGGTAACCCTAAAGGTGGAGGAAAAGCTAATGGATTTCTTGGTGGACACCAGAGCTCAAATTCAGTCCTAAAACAACCAATGGGGCCCCTCTCAGATAAGAAGGCTTGGATCCAGGGTGCCACCAGCACCAAGCCCTATCCATGAACTACCCAAAAACAGGTGGACTTAGGAATGGGGCAGGTAACTCATTTGTTTATGGTCATACCAGGATACCTTTGCCCTCTCCTGGGGTATGAGCATTCCTGGCAAGGGATCACTGGAGCTCACGGCCTAGGGCGACTTCCACTGTCCTGACTGCAGAAGTAGTCAGGCAGAGGGTGCATGGGCTGATGCTGGGGAAACTGCCTGGAGCTCAGAGATGGTGTGTAGGAACCTGTTTGGTCACCCAAGGCTATGTAACGTGCTCTCTCTTCCAGGAGTAAACCAGTTTGCATCTGCTCGCCCTCGGACTGCACTCACCTGACTCTGGCTATCTGTGCAGTGACTCCGGTGCCTCTCACTCCCTCGGCTTGGACCCCGCCATCACCCACAGGCTGGAGCCTTGGGAGGAGGACCAACATCTGGCACCCAACATGGCCTTGGCCCTCTTGGTGTTGGCAAAATGCCCCGTTTCTGTGAGTGGGCGCCTTTTCTTCGCTAGACCAATGTGGCCTGGGCCCCCTGTCTGTGTGTTTCCTAGCTGCTTGTAGATGAGCCATTAGCCCCCTCCTCTGTGTATGTGTGTGTTTGTGGGTTTTTTTTTTTTTTTTGGCTACTTATGGGTGAGTGTGCAGTCCCCTCCTCCCTTCTTTTCCCCCCATTTCTCGTTTCCCCTCCAGCTACGCCCTATGGATAATATTCTATTACCATTCACCTCCTCCAGCCTTTCCTTCCTATTCTCCAACAAGGAGGTAGATTCTTCCCACACACAACCAGAATCACCTGAGATTCTTTCCGCCCAAACCCAACTGGAGCCTGCCCCCACCTATGCATGGGCAGAACTCTACCCTCATCACTCCTCCATGATACAGCATCCCCTCTTCGTCCTGCAGCCCCACCTCTCATCCCTCTGTACTCACCAACCACAAACCCTCACCTAATACCCGTGGGGAGAAACTTTCACCACGCCGCCCTCCAGCTGCGGCCTACCCTGTTAATGTTGGACACAAAGTGGCTGCCAGGCCCTGGTATCCCACCCACTTGCTGATTTGGCCCTCATTTGGAAGATGGCCCTTGAGTCCAATGTGGACTGTTGGGATCAGTAAGCAGGCACCTCTACGGCCAGCCCCAAGGGACCTGACAAACCGGTTATCAGGCATTTGTGAAGACACCTAGACCACCTGCTGATCACCTGGAACTACCTGTGCATGCCCTGGGTCACCCTATAAGAGAACTCCTGGAGCCCCCCCTTCCACCTCGTCTCTCTGCAACCCCCTTCTCCCTTCCCTTAATAAACCTCCCACGTGGTACCAATCTCGTGGTGTGATTCGTGAACCCGTCGTGTAATCTTCACAGGTGCACGTTTCCTAATAGACTCCCCTTATTTTGAGCAGGTTCTTCTAAAATGGGCTATTCACTTGCAAACCCATTATGACTGCTATTCCCTCTTAAAGGGGTACATGCTCCTAGTGAGTTCTTCAATGGAAAGCAGCCTCTAACGACCTGGGCAAATTCCAGGCCCACAGCAACCTCCAACTTGGTGTTCCCATTTCCTTAGACGTGCTTATGGGTATGGGTTCCTACATTGGACCCTGTCACCCAGGCCACCATTGGCCTTCATGGGTACTTTGACAAGTCAAATCCATCTTTTTACAGGCCCTAGGACATGCCTTCCTAACAAGCCAGAGGCTTTTTTCCACAACCTTGTACAAGGGCCCTCAGAGGGCTTTACCGAATTCCTTACTCATGTGACAGAGTCGGTGGACCGGTGTAATCCCTTGGTCCAGCTAGAGAGGCTCTGATTAAACAGCTTGCTTGGGAAAGAGCCTCCACTGCAGCCTGCAATGCCATCACGGCCATTAGCAATGAAGATATCCGTAAGTGGATCACTGCCACCAAAGATATTAACCCCATGACGGCACCATCCAAGGCTCTTGTGGCCTCTTTGCAGACCCTGGCTATTGACAAACAACCTTCTCAAAAACCATGCTGGGCGTGCAGCCAGCCAGGCCATTTCCACTGTGCCTGCCCAAGGGGAGCCTCATGCCCTTGATGCCACAAAGACTATTAGTAGGCTAAAGACTGCACATCTGCTCCTTTAAACTTTCCCTTGGGGCAATCCTTAGCCATGCCAGGGTAATGTGGCAAACCCCCACATTCAATGGACCCTTCCCATCTTTGAGCATTCCCCTCAAATGACTGTGTTCCTAGATGAGGTCCAGATCAGAGGCATTGTGGATACTGGGGAGGATGTCTCCTCTAATGATGCCTCCCACCTCATGCCTTGGTCCTATAGGC